TCTTCTTCAAATAATCCAGCTTCTTGGGTTATTTGCTCAACATACAGATTGAATAAGTATGGTGAAAGAATGCAACCCTGAGGCACACCTTTCCTGATTTTAAAACATTTAGTGTCCCCTTAAGCAGCGCTGGTAGCGTAGTGGTTATGAGTCGGGCTGCTAACCTCAAGGTCAGTAGTTCGAAACTACCAGCTGCACCGTGGGAAAAAGATGAGGCTTTCTGTTCCTGTAAAGATTTACAGCCTCGTAAACCCTATGCAGGGTCGCTATGGGTGAGACCCGACTCTACAGCACACTACCAACACTGCCACCAGTGTAGTGTGCCCTTGTTCTTGTTCTGTGTACAAATTCCTCATGAGCACAATTAAGTGTTCTGGAATACTCATTCTCCACAATGTTGTGCAAAACTTGTCATGAGCCACACAGTTTAAAGCCTTTGTATAGTCAACGAAGTATAGGCAAACATTTTTCTGGTATTCTCTGCTTTCAGTCAAGATCCAGCTGATGTCAGCAAAGATATTCCTCGTTCCATGTCCTTGTCTGAATCTGACTTGAACTTTTGGCAGTTCCCTGTCAATGTAATGTTGCAGCCATTAAAAAACTATAGTTGGCAAAATTTTACTTGCATGTTGTATCGGTGATATTGTCTGATGATTTCTGCATTCCCTTGGGTCACTTCTCTCGGTGTGGATATATAGTTCCATATTCTCTTCCAGTCAGTTGAACAGGTCTGCTGAATTTCTTGGCATAGTTGAGTAAGTGCCTCCAGTACTGCTTCAGTGTTTTGAAAAATTGCAACATTTATTTCATCCACTCCTGGTGATTTGTTCTTTGCCAATGCCTTCAGTGCACCTTTGAATTCTTCCTTCAGTACCGTTGGCTCTTGCTCATCTTCTACGACTTGTAATGGATGAACATCGACCATTTCTTTATGGTAGTGACTCTGTGTTTTCCTCTCATCTTCTTTTGATGTTGTCTGCATCATTCAGTATTTTGTTCAACTTGAGAAATGCTGAGTGTGTTCTTCCCTTTTGGTTTTCTAACTCCACATCTTTGCACATTTCATTATAATATTTGACTTTGACTTCTTGAGCTGCCCTTGGAAATTTTCTGTTCAGCTTTTTTACCTCCTCATACCTTCCATTTGCTTTAACATCTCTATGCCGAAGAGCACATTTCAGAGTCTCTTCGGTTATCCATTTTGATTGTTACTCTCTTTGTTGCCTTCTTAATGACCTTTTACTTCCTTCTTTATGATATTCTGGATGTCATCCCATAAGTCTCTGGTCTTCAGTTATTATTGTCTAATTCATCAAATCCGCTCATGAGATGCTCTTTCAATTTAAGTGGGATGTTTCCAAGACTATATTTTGGCTCTTGTTTTCATTTTCACTTGAGCTTGGATCTGCATATGAGCAACTGATGGTCTGTTTCACAGTCTGCTCCTGGCCTTGTTTGGACGGATGATATTCGGCTTTTCAACCATCTCTTACCACTCATGTGGTCAACTAGATTTCTGTGTATCCCATCTGGTGAAATCTATGTGTATGTTGTTGTTATGACGTGCTGCAGAGTCAGTTGCGACCCATAACGACCCTCTATAGAGTTTCCAAGGAGTAGCTGGTGAGCTTGAATCGCCAACCTTGCAGTTCAAACGGCTTTGCAGTCTGGCGCATTAACCCACAGTGCCATACCAGGACTCCATATAGTTATCATCAATTTATATTGTTTAAAAAAGATATTTGCAGTAAAAAAGTCATGGGTCTTGCCAAATTCTATCATGCGATCTCCAGCATTATTTCTAGGCCCAAGGTCATATTTTCCAACTACTGATCCTTTTTCTTTGTTTCCAACCTTTGCATTCCATTCATCAGTAATTATCAATACATCTTGATTGTATGTTTGATCAATTTCAGACTGAAGAAGTTGGTAGAACTCTTCAATTTGATCATGACTGGCTTTAGTGGTTGGTGCATAAATTTGAATATTAGTGGTATTTATTGGTCTTCCTTGTAGGCATACGGATATTATCCTATCACAGACAGCACCATACTTTGAGATCTTGAAACATTCTTTTTGATGATGAATGTGACACTATCCCATTTTAATTTGTCATTTTAGCTTAATAAACCATGTGATTGTCAGATTCACAATTGCTGATGCCAGTCCAATTCACCTCACAAATGGCTAGGATATTGATAATTGTACATTGCATTTCATTTTTGACAGCTTCCAAGTTTCCTAAATTCATACTTCGTACAATCCATGTTCAGATTAGTAATGGATGCTTGCAACTGTTTCCCCCATTTTGAGTTGTGCTCATTTTGTGTAAGGTATTGCTGTTGTTGTTGTTGTTAGGTGCCATTGAGTCAGTTCCAACTCATAGTGATCCTGTGTACAACAGAACAAAACACTGCCCAGCCTCACAATCAGTGTTCTGCTGGAGCTCATTGCTGCTGCCGCTGAACCAGTCCACCGTGTTGGGGTTCCTCCTGTTTTTCTCCTACCCTCTACTTCACCAACCATGATGTCCTCCTCCAGGAACTGGTCCCTCCTGATACTAGGTTCGAAGCATGAGAGATGGAGTCTGGGCATTTGGATTCTAAGGAGTACTCGGGCTATTCTTCTTCCAACACAGATTTGTTTATTCTTTTGGTGGTCCGTGGTACTTTCAATATACTCCAAAAATGCCATAACTCAAATGCATCGATTCTTCTACAGTCATCTTTATTCATTTTCCAACTTATGTTCACCATGAAATGGTCAATCAAAAAGGTAACATTTACCTAAGGACAAAGTTGAGAAGGAATGGGAAGGTGTGTTACGTAGAGGGGACTGCAATCACTGAGATGAAACAACGTGTATGATTTGTTGACTGTAAAACTGATGATCTTGTCTGTAAACCTTCAATAAATTTACAGTTAAAAGTTACCCAAAAAAGTAGTTGTTCATTTTACACTCCCACTAGTGGTACGTTGGAGCTTCTCTTGTTCCACCTTCTTTGCAGGAGTTAGTAATATTAGTCTTCCTGCTGATTGCTGATGTGCTGTGTGTAAAATGATACCCAGTGGTAATGTTTCCTTTGACTGATGAGCTTGAGCATCAGTTTATATGGGCTCTGTCACTGAAGTCTCTGGTTTTGCCCAGTGGCATTTTTCTTAGTGTGTTTTCTAGATGATTTGATCATGGCTTTTATTTTCACTTACGTTTTGTTTTGTGCCTTTTAATTTGAAATACTAATTGTATACTTGCTAATATGTGTCCCAGTATTTTCTGTCCTTGGTGAGGTTTCTCTTCACGTTCTTATGATGTCTGTTGGCCATCATCAGTTCTTAATTTTAAGAGAGTTAAATGTATGAATCTTTCCTTGGATGTGAAATTTTTTTGCCTTATTTAAGACTGCCTTTCCTACTTGGAGATCATATCTTATGTAATACTTTCTGTGCAAGTCTCTCCTTTCCGTTTCTGAAAGACTTTACACTCTGGATGAGCAGATTAGAACCGGTAGCTGTTGATAGTTGCTTTGGCAATCTCGTGTATCACAGAATGAAACAGTGTCCAGTCCAGCCCCAGCTCCATGATCTCTGAGAGGTTTCAACCCATTGTTGAGGCTGTTACCTCAATGCATCTCTTCAGGCTTCCCCCAGGTTTCGCGGGCCCTCTCTATTCTACCAAGCAGAATGTGCTTTTTCAGTCATTCGTCTTTTCTGATGGTGTGTCCACAGTAAGCAAGACAAAGCTTCACCATTCCTACTCCTAAGGAGCATCATAGTGATATTCGGAGCAAATCTTATGGGTTACAGCAGAACGCTTAGTAGAAGACTAGTAGAATATACAGCTGACATACTGTTAGAGATTCTAGATTCTGGTTTGTTGTTCGCTTGTTTATGACTAGTGATTTCAAGAAAGTCATCAGCTGTGTCTTAACCTGAATGTGGCATTTCTTTCCTTCCTGTGCAGATGACTGTGACGAGCCTCTGGTACCTGCCTTGCCACAGGCATCATTCAGCAGTTCTTCTGAGCTATCGAGCAGCCATGGTCCTGGATTTGCAAGGCTCAATAGGAGAGATGGTAAGTCAGAGTTCCTCCTCTGGTCCTTGGTGAACCACATCATTTTCCATTCAGTAAAATCATTATAAGTGCTATGTGGCAAAGGAAACATTCTGAATAAACAAATACATCTTGGATGTATTGGACATGCATCCATTATGGAATGGCAAGGGGATACATCCTGTTTGAAAATTTGGCAAGTCTTTTATGTGTCTCATAAAATAAGTTTTTGTACAGTAATTATACACTTATTATCGATACATTGTTGTTGTTAAGTGCCATCTAGTTGGTTCCTACTCATAGTGACCCTCTGTATAGGGTTTTCGAAGAGCAACTGGTATGTTTGAACCACAGGCCTTGCAGTTCTAACTGACCTAGTGGTTGAGTAAGCTCTCTGTTTCCAGTTTGGAGTCTTGGTGTGGCACTATAGACTAAGCACTGGACTGCAAACTACAAGGTCTGTAGTTTAAATCCACCAGCTGCTCCTCGGAAACCCTATACAGGATCACTATGAGTCAGAAACAACTTACCAGGACTTAACAAACTTAAGAACAATTTCCAGTTAAACTAGGCAACTTGCAAAATAAGTAACTTCAAAAGATGCTGGTTATAAAAAAAAAAAAAAGATGCTGGTTATTTACAAATAAGAATCCCTGCTTGTTTAATTCTCAATGTGACTGCCGTGGTCTTCTGTCCTGGAGAAATGAGAACTTATTAAAGCTTTCATGCGCTTTTAGAAATGCTCATTTTGTTTATTTTACCCTGTCTTTGGTAGATTGTGTTTGAGCGCATGAACATGTTTAAAAGAAACTGCAAGAAATTCACAGCAACTTGCTGCAAAAATAAGAGGAGTTTTACAACATGGTTTGCTTAGAGGAAGGACATTGTCCACATAGAAAATGAGCAGCAATGTGGACCCTTTTCCTAAGATGTTGAAGCAAAAATGATCTCTACATTCTAGGGGAAGAGGGCTGACTTTACTAGGACAGAAACCATTTCTAACAACCCTAAGAAATACTCACCACCATCATGCATTTGTAAAACTGGGCTTCACCCATTCTGAACACTTTTCCTCATTCCATGTCAATGATCCCCTTTGAAGTTGACACCTGGATGCCATTCTTGGGGCTGTTGTTTTATGTCTGACCACACCGAACACAACAGATGGATCACCGTTGTGTGTACGGAAATATCTGTGGTTTGCTATCTTGTAGACATTATACACACGGTGGTCATTACAATGCAGAGATTTATATGTAATTCAGTGACATAAATGTATATGTAATACAGTGACATATAAAGTGAGATATATTGGCAAAGTGGCAGCATCAATGGACTCAAGTGTGGCAACAGTAGTGAGGTTGGCCCAGGATCGGGCAGTGTTTTGTTCTGCTGTGCATAAGGTTGTTATGAGTCAGTACTGATTCTATGGCACCTAACAACAACAACAGTGACATGATTCTAAATTTAAGTTCAGTTTAAAATTTCATCTCATGTGAAGTAAGTGGGATAACCACTTTATGTGACTTATGAAACTTCAAAAGATGAAATAAAGACAAATGGGTGATCTAAATGTTTTGTATCTTCCCATGGGTCCACATTCGGTGAATGTTTTCACTATTCAAGTGGAGTGGAGGGTAAAGGTGAACTTTGTTTTACTTATTAAAAGGAATACAGCCATGTATGATATGAGATGAACTTTCTGAGTCTGAGATTGTGTTTCTGAGTATGAGTCTGTGTGAGTAGAGAGTAGAAACAGAGGTGGACGGACGTGTCAGGTGAAGACTTGAATGTATTTGTGGAGATCATGTTTGCCTGTCACTTTTAATTGCCTTGTTGTGACAGTTGTAACTGGTGATGCTGGATTTGTCCCTTCTACTTTCAGTCCTAAAACCTTGACTGATCACAGGCCAACAGACATGCTTAGCTCCTCTGAAAGGAGTTCCCAGGTGGCGCAAACAGTGAAGCACTCACTTATTAACAGAAAGGCCGGCACTTCGAACCCACTCTGAAATTCCTTAGAAGACAGACATGGCGATCTGCTTTTGAAAGCTCACACCTTGAAAACCGTAGGCAATTGCATACCTGGGGTTGCCATGAATCGGCACCTACTCAAGAGCATCTGTCATCAATATCAGCTGCCTTCATCCTGTGTGTGATCTGCTGCCCTCCGCCAGAGCAGCTGCTGACCACAACACTGGTGGAGAGGGAGCTCTGCATCCTGGCCAGGCAGACCTTGGAGATTCGGGCCCAGTACAGACCACAGCAGTAAAGCGACAATTGCAATAAAGTCACCTGGCTCTTTGGGTTTCTCAGTGCATATGAAAGTGATGCTCATCACACTCGACTAGAGTCCATTACTGTGTGCACTGTTGTTGTTGTTGTTAAGTGCTGTCAAGTCGGTTCCGACTCATAGAGACCCTGTTTCCAAGGAGTGGCTGGTGAGTTTGAACCACTGACCTTGCAGTCCAGCGTTTATCCTACAGCGCTTATACTGTGTACAGTACATTTGTTGTTGTTGTTAAGTGCCATTGAGTTGGTTCCATTCATACCGAATCTGTATAGGGTTTCCGAGGAGTGGGTGGTGGGTTTGAACCGCCGACCTTGCAGTTCACACTGACCTTGCATCCAGTGGACTATCCTGTAGCACCACACAATCTATACCAATATAGAATATAGACTCTCATCTGTTACTGTGTGCAATATTCTATAGACTGTATATAGTACATTTGTTGTTGTGAAGTGCTGTATAGTTGGTTCCAACTCATAGTGACCCTGTTGAGGGTTTCTGAGGAATGGCTGGTGGGTTTGAACTGCCGACCTTGAGGTTCAAACTGATTTTGAGGTTGTTGTTGTTGTTAAGTGCCATCGAGTCGGTTCCGACCCATAGTGACCCTGTACAGGGTTTCCGAGGGTATAAATCTTTACGGGAGTAGAAAGCCTCATCTTTCTTCCGCAGAGCGGCTGGTAGTTTCGAACCGCTGACCTTAAGGTTCGCGGCCCGATTCGTAACCACTACGCTATAGTGCATTAATCCTGCTATTGTTGTTGCTAATTGCCATTGAGTCAATGGCAGTTCCAACCCATAGTGACCTTGTATAGGGTTTCCGAGGAGCGGCTGGTGAGCTTGAACTGCCGACCTTGCATTTGAAACCGACTTTGCCGTCCAGTGCCTTAACCCAAAGTGCCACACCAAGACTCTGCATTATCCTGTAGCGCTATGCAATACATAGCAGTATGGAAAAGTTAGAGATATTGTGAGAATTACTAAAATGGGACACAGCGATACAAAGTGAGCACATGCTTTTGAAAAATGGTGCCAACAGAGTTTTGCTCGACCCAGGGTTGGTTGCCGTGAATCTTCAGTCTGTAGAAAACACAGTATCTGCAAGGTGCAATCCAATGAGATGTGCCTGAAGCCTCCTTTCAGTAAGTAGAGTTCACCTTTCCTTCCTCTCCATTTGAGGAGTGAAAATGTTCACAGAACGTGACCTGTGGGAAGACATAAAATATTTAATTCATCTATTGGTCTTTATTTCATCTTTTGAGGTTCAATAAATCACAAAAAGTATGTTATTAATTGGGTCAGATCGTATTTTTCATTAATTTATACATTCATCAGGATTCTCCAACAGTGAGACTCATTTTCATTCTTAATTCATTTCTGTGGCTCTTGGTGAAGCACAGTATCAACCCTCATGAATAGCATTTGCATGTTAATGATACCAAGAAACAAAACAGGACCATTTTAATTATCTTTTGCTGGTTGTCAACCTACTTGATTATCTTTTTTTCTTTTTATTGAACTGTTTTTTTTTTTTTTTTCATTCATTACATGACGTGTTCACAAAGGAATGTCAGATTTTAAGTGATTTATGAAAGGCTATTTATTAGTTTTAGAGTCCTGGTGTGATGCTATAGGAGATGCACTGGACTGCTAGCCAAAAGGTTGTTGGTTCAAACCCACCAGCTACTCCTTGGAAACACTCCACAGGGTCACTGAGTTGGAACCCACTCGACTTCACTTAACAACAACAACAATACATATTCTTTTTGTAAAAGAGGCCTGTTGGCAAAATTACACAGTTCTCTACTGTTTACCTAAAGGTCAGTGGTTTGAACCCACCAGCTTCTTTGCAGTCTGGTTTTGTAAAGATTTAGAGTCTTGGAAACCCCAGGGACAACTCTACTCAGGCCTGTGAGGCCTGCTGTGAGCAGTAATTGACTCAGAACAGTGGATTGTTGGATTTGGTTTTGATTTCACATACCATTTTCAGTGCTGCAGCACTCCTCGTGTTTGTTAGATTAGGCCGGAGAAGGATGTTCAGCCAAGTCAGCAGACCATGCATTACTGAATAAGCCAACAAAGGTCCTTGTAGCCTCAGTACACAAGGTGTAGTGTCCTCTTGTCTTGAGAACCTGCAAAACTTAGAGCCAAAGAATGTATGGGTAGGACATGAAGAATTGAGCTTGACAACCTACAGTTTTCCATCTCTGGAATGAGAAATGCCAGGTGTTAACACTGAAAGTGTCTGAGATCCCAGCAGTAGGGGAAGCAGATTGGAAAAGACGACCCTTATATATGACAATTCTGATTCTCCCAGTCGGGAAGGAGAAAACGCTGCTTTTTGGATGTATAGTAATTCAATGTTGCCTCTTGAGTGTCATTGAGTAAATGACTTTCTCTCTCATTAAATGCTCCAGAGGATTGTTTAGTTAAAGCATTTTCAACAACAGATGATTTACTTCCTAGTCTCTGGAAGGATGCATCTCAATTTGAACCTGAAAGATTTCATAGCTCAGGAAGTATCTTCCAAACTTATTCGTAAACAACACAAACAAACACAGATCGATCACTGTGAATACTGAGGATATAATCAAATGAAATAGCCCTCTGTCTTTGTACAATATTTCCATTGTCAGAGTTTCAGCGTAGCGTGACTTTTAATGAGCAAATTCCAATTAAGTATGCACTGACTGTTATTATTATCAATATAGAGTTGAAGCAGGCACTAGTGTAA